AATCCCCTCGACTCTGTCTTTTGATTTGTGTCGGTGGGAAAAAGTTATATTAGGTGTTACTGGTAGAAGCGTCGTCAAACACGGAATACTTGTATCATCCTCACTTGTATGTTGGTGAATTGAGATGTCTTTTCAACAGATATTTTGAGTTAACGTATTTGGACGATCAATATATTTTTGGAAATTATTTTGTGTATCAGCCACAAAGAAGCAATATTTCATCTAATGTTGAATTAAATAAGTCAGTGGATTGAGAAATGTTTGATAGTGATTTCAATTGTACTGATCATATTTCGAGTTATATGACATGTTGTTCTATATTCTTTATGAGCAGTTTAAAAATACCCACAGAATAGTAAAAACGAAAGATTATTTGAGAGCAAAATTGTTTTCAATAACCTAATTATCAGGCTCTACATTTATCGGTCCATAATTATTGTTATATTTTACAAGGCCAAAATAAGGCATACATTATTGAATTTGTCGATATGCTGGAAATGGTGAACTTTTGAATCTGTTATGACATTCTTCAAACTTGTGTTATTTGTAAATTTGTAAGGTCATTTAATAAAGGTCAGAAAGATTTGTAGTAGTGTCAAGTTATAATCAATATTTCGATAGATTAATAAGAAGACGAAGATTATCAGAACTATGTGATATATTAGCACAAAACATTTCGAACAATCTGATCACACATAAATTGCTAAGAGCATTGATAAATATTGCGCTAGCATATCACATCGTTCTGATAATCTTCGTCTTATTACACTATCGAAATTTATCAATGGGACTAATGGCTTTATGATCAATATAATAGCGAAATATTAAATCATATAGATAAAATGAATAATAATGGAATTTCGTCTTGTTAGTCGAAGTAATAATAATAATGACGTCGTTTGAATAAAATATGTAAAAACAGAGGCGTTGTAAAGGTAACTACTCTAAAAGAAATTCATGTGGATCGGGAAAGATGAATGCGTAGATTAAGAAAGATAAGAGCACTAAATCAAAAGGGAGGGGAATAACAGATTTACAATATCCAGTCCAGGTATCTGGTGATCCGGTCGTGAACTAAGGTAAACATATAGGTTGGATATACCTCTTCTGGATTTATAAGTTCGTTTCTCTGGCGTTGATCCAGATGGCCTCATCTATGAAGTTAAGCCATAGTCTAATACCTTCAGGTAGATTGTTTGGAACTTGATATTAGGAGATAGATTCATCTTTTTTAATCTGATCTTCATCATCTACTAAGTGAAAGAGAATGGTGCTATTAGACATAGTGACTCCTTTTCCCAAATATGCTGATACATGTTTCGTGAACGAGCTCTTAGGTGGGGAAGACCAATGTACTGTCAAAGCCAAATTACATACTGCTTTCGTAATATATGAAAACCACATTAAATACACCATTTTCAGATGTTATATCAGTTATCCTTTACATGCTTCATGATTCTTTCAATTCTGTTGTTGCAAGAACTACATTGTTTTCTCTCCCCCTTCTCAGTTGAAACTTTTCAAAATTTTAATGGCGTGCATTCCAGTTCCGATAGATGCTACATACTACTTATAACAGGAAAAATAAGTAGCATAGACCACACATATTCACAAGCACACAAGGATAAAACCCTGTGGATATAACCTGTGCTACTAGCTTAATTGGAACAGATGAATTGGTGTACACACATGGAGGAGCCCGTCTTTGGAAACTTATTCATGACTTATTATGTAAGTGCTGGTTTGGTAGAGATTACATTTAACTTGGCGTCAATGTAGTTATGAACAGGACTAATTACATAGATAAAATGAACACCCTTCTGCGTGATCAAACTAAATTCCAAACGCATGAGTCATGTAAAAAACTTGATGAAAAGATCGAACGTCAGTTAACATCGACATTAAAACCTTTAAAACTATATCAATACATCTCTGAGAATGCCTATATTGGGCTCAAGCCTTCCGGAACACATCCCCCTCGACTCCATGACTTACCCACGATTCACAAACTATTCAACAGCAAAACGGTTGGTGAGATTATTAGAAGTTGTCGGTCAGTCAGTCAGCAACAACATAGAACTTCGTACATACATACATCAGTTCGGGTTGCCATACCGCATTATCACAGAGATACTAGTGTCGATTCAAATCCCATAGTGGTAGGGGTAATAAAAGTATAAGCAGTAATCGGAAAGATTACGGTTTGAAGACGTTATTCAAGGAGTTTAATCCACTGAAATAACTTTGGAAAGATAAAAAGTAACACGAAGAATTTAGATTAGAATTTGGGAGAACACAAAGAATGGATGCACCTGCGCCATTGCAAACGATTTTGAGCCATGTCATTCAGGGTCTCTTACCATCGGTTGCTATTGCATTGCGGATCACAACCAGGTAGTCTACACCAACCAACATGGTTCAGTCCACTTGTCAGTGACTTCATGGATTTGTGCCATGTTTTGGACTGGCCGTCCCTAGCTTTTTTCCAGCCTACTACTACACCATAAAACATTGCACGTCGGTGGTTAGACAGACGTAACACATATCCCAGCAATCTCAACTGATGAAGTTTCACCACTACATCAATTGATTTGCCATCCTTACCTAGTACCCGTTTCCTAACAACTGTACTACTTACTCGATGGTCCCATGATATACGAGCAATGTTTCGAAGACACCTATGATCGAATACTAGTAGTCTACGAATGTCCTCTACTCTTACCGGCCATGTTTCACTGCCATAAAGCAGGACGGAACAAACGGCTGCATAGTAAACCCGTCCTTTGGTTGATAGACGGATATCTCGCCTACGCCATAAATGACGCAAGTTAGCAAAAGCTAGTCGAGCCTTCTGTATCCGTGCTGCGATTTCGTCACACACCAGGGCTGATGAAATTTCCAAGATAAATGAAGCGGCCAACACGCTCAACTACTTCACTCCCTATCATTAGTTCAGGTGTCGATGTAACCCAATCCTGAAGCAACATTTTGCATTTCGAGGGAGAGAATTGCATCCAGAACATGCTTGCATTGTTGCTTAGTGGTCAGAAGACTCTGCCTTTTGTCAGCGTCTTCACCAAATAAAACTATGTCATCAGCATATTCTAAGTCAATAAGTGAATCTCTCGGTAAAACTTCAACTCCTAGAAATTCAGATGAGGAAAATGTTATCTCTGAAAACACGTCATCGATGAAGTTAAACAAGAATGGACAGCCCTGACGAACACCACTTGATGTAATCAATCCGGATGACAGTTCGCCATAAGCTCTCACTTGACCAGTTGTGTTCGAGTAGAGATCCTTTATAAGGTTATTGTACTTCTTTGGTACTCTTTTCAGTGACAAACACTGCCATAAAACCTCACGATCGACAGAGTCAAATGCGGCCTTAAGGTCCAGAAATAATACGATTGTGGGGCCTCTGAATGTGTGTCTATGTTCTAGGACCTGACGTATTGTGAATATCTGGTCTATACAACCACGTCCATGTCGGAAACCAGCGCGGTTTTCTCTAGTCTGCTTTTCACGAGCTTTAGTTAGGCGTTGAAGTATTATTGAAGCTAATATTTTAGACACTATATTAGTCAAGTTGATTCCTCTGTGACTGTCACAAGAGGACTTTCGGTTTCTCTTATAGACTGGCACAATCATTGATTAAGACCATTCAGATGGGATTACGTTCAGTTCCCAAATTTTACCTAAGACCTCACTGCTGATACTGGACCGCCATTCTTAAAAATCTCAGGGGTACAAACCAGGATCCTGAAGGAACGAATGGCGTATGAACCAATCGTTGGTCACCGGCTGCCATGGGACTGCGTCTCCTTACGACGCTCCACTGCCTTGTGAATCAGACCTTCGTGTCAAATGTTCCGGGTGTGACTCCTAAGAAAACCACCTGCTTCGATCTGGGCACCCAGGCAGTATCACAGCCCTCACATATATCAAATGAGATTTGTGTGGCGCATATGTATTTGGTGCCTCATTGTGCCAATATCTATGTATTAAAATAGAAATTGGTGCCTCCCTGCCTCCAGGGGTAGACCTGTCATGGCCTGCTGCTCCCCTTCGATTCAGATTTCCTATAGCTTTTCCAACTTCGTAAATATTTAGAGGACTTACATCAACTTGCCATTCAGGTCGACTCTGCTTTATCATCGTTGTCTTCGAAGGATTGCTGACGTCATGGCAATACCATGTTAGTGATGCAAAGGTTCAGCATCATGTGTTCGGGCACAGCGACAATAATGCAATTGGTGTTACTATCTTGAAACATCGAATTCGGTGGCTTGGATATATTTTATGAATGTTGTCTCAGAGAATCATACGTCGTGCATTATTTGCCGACGCTGGGACTGGTTGGAAAAAGCCGGGAGACGATCAGTGTATGAGATGGTGTCGTGGTATGAAAGAAAGCTACACAGGACTGGCTTCTTTTGTTCCCTCACGACTCCCTGGTTGATGTCCTAGAAATGATGTAACACAGTGGCTTGAGACGTTATCAGATACGGCTCAAAACAGAAGCCAGTGGCGATCCTGTTGTAACCTTCTTCAGAAAATTGAACGTAGTTTCTTTAACTGAACGAATTCTTTCTGGCTGTACCTTTGTAAATGTACTGTCTATCCCATTATTATTTCACTGTCATACACTAATTTCTGATTGTTATTGTCCTCCTTTTTCTCATACGCACTTTATATCTCTTCACATTCTCATTGTTATTGTACGGCGCATATGTATTTGGTGCATCTTTGTACCAATATTTAGGTGTTCAAATAAATAAATCGACTCCAAAAGGAGTAAACTGTTTGATCGCCGTAATGAAATGTATGTCAATCACCAGTCGTCCAAGTATTCTTCTAATTATTAGTTTCGTCATAACAAAGAATCGTAAAAAGAAATATATGATGCATAAGACCATTTTATTTTATAACACAACTACAGAGAAACAAAGCAAAAACATCATGAAGTCAAAAAAATAAATATTGGAAATTAGTAGAGATCAGGCAGGTAGTCGTAAGTCACGTCCTTTCATAACTGTAAACAAAAGAAAGAGATACGTTAGTTAATTAGGTGACGTTGGTTGTTAGTGGAATTAGTCATTAGTTCTGTGCAGTTAGATCGTAATTAATGACGAATTCTATATAATGGAGTGCAAACGGATCATACTAAGAAGCAGTTTATAGTAATGCATTTTTGATTAACATAACACGAGCTAAATATCTCCATTCAAGGTGTGAATAATAAGGCTCTCATGCGTAGTTTAAAAAGCAAAGTTCGTTTTATCGTCAAATTGGCTATCATGAAGAACAAGTTATACCTAATATAAAAGTTTAGACCTTAATTGACGAATGTTTTATCAAATCTCTGGAAGATGTTTAACGTAATTTTGTGAAGCGAACAGAGTATGAAAAGTTAAACCAACAATTTTCAACCAAGAATTTTAGTATTGCGGCGTCCAAAGACTTATAATGACAGCAATTTTATGTACTAATAGCGGCTTTTCCTGAGCCTTGAAACAGCATATATTGGAATAAGGATATAAAGAAATGACCTTTTATCATCGTATCTTTGAGTATCTAGCTCTATTTTAATTAAACATATCTTTAAGATATATTCAGGAAACAAACCATTAGTCAATAAAATGTCGAGGAAAACCATGCATATGAGATCTTTACCATGAAAATTAAAATTAATTCTAAGACGTCACTAACGCATCTCAAAAGTGAAGAAGACCGATTCAAATAGTCATAGTACCCAGGCGGTGGGTAGTGGCTAACCATTTACTCATATCTTAATTGTTAGTCAGAACATTGTTTCCAAAATAGATTTTTCACTGAAATACTAGAGGTTACTGGAAACAGTAAACAAATGAGTCGAATAACAACATGAGTGTAGACATGTTGCATAGGAGCAGTTATGTTAACTAGTGGATAACATACGCTAAAAATTACCTTCAGTAACTTAAAAACATATGCTAAATCAAATATATAATTTACCTTTAGCTATGTACAAATAGAAGAAGTCGCAGTATAATAATGTTTGTACAATACCCGCAACAACAGCAATATAGTCGAGATAATCATCAAAAACATAACGGTATATCCAGTTGAACAAATACAACGCACGGTACGATCCTAACGCAAATAAGTAGTGAGAAGTGATTGTTTCAGCTTCGCCAGTTTTGCTAATCATAAACAACTGAGGCATAATAGCAACCGATTCCAAGTAAATTGAGAAAGCCCACAGTATCTATGAGCAGTTAAATACAAAAAATAACATATAGAAGGAATGGGTAAAGAAAACTTGAAATAACATCCGGTATGTACAATAAGATACATATGATTAAAGAAATCATGATGGTAACCCATTTACCATTCAAAAATGACTTAATAATGAAAAATTCTTTAGTAATCAAACCAACAAAAGTTAATGCTTTTAGTGATAAATTAGTAAAAATAAACCAAAAGCTGGGTTTCGAGAGAAACTCAGGTAATCTAAATATATATTTCATGTTAGTGATATCCGAATTACGGAGCGAGAACAAAATGGTGGGCCTAAATCGCAGAACATTGAATATTGAGTTACCTGTCTACTTCAACCAACACTTCCTGTTTATGGAAACGAAATGAAATGTTTGGAAACGAAAATAGCTAAACTGTGCCTTACTGTCTGTAACTCCAAGTTTTAACGTAAAATTTAAATTTAAAAGTTGAAGCTGAAGTTCGCGATTCGTTGATATTTATCTGTATGTGACTCGTTTTATGTGAATCCGCGTGAGGAAAACACTCAGTTTTTTGTAAAAGATTTCTGGAAATGTCCGTTGACGTTTTCTGAAGAATCAAACGAAGCTATATCTTACTTTGCAAACAATCCACAACTTATTGACCTAAGGTTTAGGTTGATCTATGTTTTAAACTTGCTAACCAGTTGATCATAAAGCTTCACTTTGCTTGGCTCAATGGCTACTGTATAACAAGTTGTCATGAATTGGTTTGGCAACCTTATGGATTGTTTTCTTACGCTACTAGAATTAGTGTTTTCCGCAAATTGGAGTGGTGGTTTAATATTCAATGTGTTCGACTTTCAGACACCAAATCCCAGACTCGAATCCCACTCTGTATACTTCAATCTGGTCAACCACGTAGTATCATTAGCCCTGGTACTTGTATTCAAGTACCTAGGGAATGAGTGAATTACTTACTGACTTACAGTGTCACTTTATAAACTCCTCACTCATGTTTACTTAGAATAATCCTCAAGTTGGTTTCTAGGACAGCATATATAAAACCTATCCAAATCATGTATTAAAAGGGTTTGCATAATCCCGAAAAAGTTAAAGAGAGTGAGCAGTTCCGAACAAAGAAAAAAAATGAAAATCAGAAGCTATTTTCTAGTTAATCAGAATACATATTTTTAATGCGCATTTGTCAAGTAATTGATTAGAAGGTTCCATTTGACCCCTTAACTGTTATCATACCTTTCTCCATTCAGTATTGTTAAATAAACACAAACCTATCCCTCAAACTTTGTATTAGAAAGATCTTAATTATTAAGAGATTAGGCTTTATTTATGATGGTATAGTAGAATTTTTTATACATGAATATACAAACTAAGGTACTTGCTTAACAGCATTCATATGACAACTAAAAATGAGAATAAGAACTGACTGAATACATCCTATTATTAAATTTAAAATTCAAGGCGTTATTGGCGTAATTGAGAAATAAAACAAGTATTACATAGATGTTGCCATTGTATGTAATATACCATACAAATGATTGATTAATACTTCAAGATCTAGTAATCGCACTTAACAAGGATAGTGTAAAACAATTCACACTAAAGAGTTAGTTATGAAACACACCAAAAAGAAAACAGCATTTTGTTATTCGGATGAGAATCTTGATATCTGTCAAACGATTTATTTAGGGCTCATTCTACTTTTTTATTTCACATTGAATCCATAAAATTGTATGTATTGAGTAATCCTTCACTTCAGTTTGAATTTGATTGGTTATCACATTACTATATCTCGGCCACTATTATATATATATATATATATATATATATATATATATATATATATATATATATATACTAAATTTTAATAAGTTCCGATAGACCTACGAATTGACTGGTGTACATTTAATTCTTTTCGTTTCAACGTTTACAAGTGATAACCATTTCATTTTACCGAAAATCCTCAATCCCTATCACACATTTCAAAAGGTGTATTTACTTTAAATCAGACATGCATTTTGTGAACCTATTGGGCTTATAGAGAACAATATATCATTTATTAGGTATTTGAATATGAGCAACAAAGTGTGAGAGCTATTGATGATACCTGGTTGACCAAACCGAAGCAGATGGGGTGGGGTTCGATCCTGCGACTTAGTTTCTAGAAGTCGGACGCCTTAATCATTGAGCCAATGCTACAATTGCGCTTGTAACTGTGGAACCCTACGAGCCTTTATGGAAAGGCATATTCTCCGTTTGTATGTGCTTCAGTATTCGAAAAACTATGGAAGTTGCTTTTCTATGGAAGCCAAACACACTCATCTTATGTTCACTACTAATGACGGTCCGATTAAAAAAAAACAGAAGGATGTGCTGTATGTTTATCCACTTCCTACCCAAACATGAAAAGTTGGATTTGCTATGAAAATATAAGTAACTTATCGAGAGTACAAGATTAATCCTAGAGGTACCTTAAAAGTTATCTCAAACGTGTAAGAAACATCAAGCTTTATTGTTCTCTTTATGTTCATATATAGTAAAATTCATCAGCTGGAAACCTTAAGTGACAGACTTTAATCAGTTGTAGTGATGAGGATGGATTGCCTCTAAAATCAATTTGGACAATAGAATTACAATTTTGAAGTTACGTACTCAGTTTAATTTCGGTTTTGCTTCTTGTTTTACCTAGTCAGTGTCGCTATAAAAGCTGGTTGTTTTGGATTGTTTGGTGTGAGCCAATGTAAACTGATGCACCATTATAATACCTAACTGTAAATTGTTTCAGTTTCAGCCAAATTATCAAAGTGAAAATCGAAAAATCTGTATTGAAGGCCTTACCTCATATAAAGAAAATTCGTAATTGGCCACTAATCCTAGAAGCAGACTGGGGATCAGCAACAAATACACAGCAAATGTATCATGATTAGAATCGTAGGTAGCCTTGAATTTAAAATACATGAAGTAGACGGTCGCACAAGAGCAAATGATAAAGAAAAGCTTCATGATGGTGTTATACAGTGAAATAAAATTGAAAAACAAATCCACGTAACGTGATATAAATACAACTGCAAAAAGAAGTTGAGATTTTCCTGAAAGTCCTACAAAGTGGATACAAGTAATCCAAGTGAAGTATATTGAAAAGGTTACATAAATCAACAAAATCGCTCACATAGAAAACCGACAACTATTTGCGGACATTACCTCAATGAATAGATTTTACTCACAAAGACATGAAAACACTCAATCCTTTCAAAATGGTCTTTAGATAAGTTTGGATATCGCAGGACGCCCAACTTCGAAATCAACAAGCTGGATTCCGTAAGGATCGGTCGTGCACAGACTAAATCACGACACCACAGATAGTGTTAGTGTCTAACCTCAACCAACTCACGAAGGCCGTTGGTTCGAACCCCACAAACAGGATCGTGGATGCGCGCTGCTTAGGAGTCCCACAGTAGGACGAAACGGCCGTCCAGCACTTACAGGCCTTCTATGGTGGTCTAACATCAATCAGTTCATAATCTCAAATGAAAACTTAATAATTTCTACAACCGCTAGACCGATAAGTTGTCGACGCGTTCGACCACATTACTCCCTATCCTTAGTACAGGTGTTGACTCAGGCAAGTCCTGAAGCAACAACTTGCATTTACAGAGGGAGAAGCGTATCCCAAACATTCTGGCATTGTTGCTTAGTGCTACCAAAAGACTGCAATTTATCAGCGTCTTCACCAAACAGGACTATATCATCTGCGTATTCTAAGTCTATACGTGAACCTCCTGGTAGGAGATCAAGGCCCGAAAATGCAGTCGACGACAGCGTTATTTCCATCAGTAGGTTTATAATGAAGTTAAACAAAAATGGAGAAAGTGGGTAACCTTTACGGACACTATTTGAGGCTGCAAAATCAGATAACAGTTCGCTATAAGCTCTCAATCGATTAGTAGTGTTCGAGTAAAGAGCCTGCACAAGGTTTATGTACTTCTGAGATACACCTTTCAATGAGACACTGACATAGAATCTCTCGGCCTAAAGTCAAATGCTACTTTCAAGTCAAGAAAAACCACCATTGTCGGACGCCGATAAGTATGCCTATGTTCTGGAACCTGACGAATGGTGGTCAATGCAGCCACAACCAGGTCTGAAGCCAGCCTGATTTGCTCGTGTTTGCGGTCCACGAGTCCTAGTTAGGCGCCCGATAATTATTGAATCTACTGCTTTATATGCTATATTTATCAAACTAATTCCTCTATTTTTGCCACAGGATGATTTTGACCCCTTCTTATACCTTGGGACAATCAATGATTGCGACCAGTCCGATGGGTTTAAGTCCAACTCCCAAATCTTAACTAAAATATTAGTCAACCTAATCGCTAAAACTGGATCACTATACTTAAGTGCATCTGGAACCAATCTATCGGAACTAGCGTCTCTTCCTCGTTTCAGATTAGCTATAGCCTGTTGAACTTTAGCTAGAGTCGAAGGACCTACTTCAATGTTCCATTCAGGCTGTCTGGGAATGGTGGGTAGATGTAGAGTAGCTGAAGGAAAGCTAAACCGTTGTCTCAAGTGTTCCGCCCATCTTTCTAAACGTCTGGGCTGAGAGCACACATTAGTGTCGTCTTTTTCCGAGATCATCTCGCTTACACCCGACTTTTTCGTTCGTTTCTTTTACCAGTTTGAAGAGCTATCTTGTGTTACCTATAGCCACCGCCTTTTATACTTCTTTTGGTTTCGATACAGCCTAGGACAGACTTCGTTGGTCCCAGGTCGGCGGCTAATTTCCCAAGAGGCATAACAGATTTAAGGAAGTACGCAGGGTGATAACACTAGAGTTAAACCGCTTGTGATTTTCCATAACTTGTGCCACATGAAAATCCTCAGTCTCTGTCTGAATAATGATGAAAATCTTAATTTTATCAGAGTAGCAGCTGACTTCGAACCAGTTAGTTCAATTATTTTAATTTATATGAAGACGATCGAATTAGTCTTATGCAACATGAAACCTGGCATATATGTACATCGACTCCAGTTGTCACACAATATTAGCACTGCTATCAAAACCTTCGCAAATATAACGTTTATTTGACTGGGATTCGGAAACTGATAGGTTTTAAACGAAAGTACTTTATGTAAGTGAGGTTGCAAACTTTCCTACCTATTGATATACACTATTACGACCAATGAGTTATTGGAGAAAAACAGCGAGCAGATGCAAGTACCAAGATTGTGGACTGGCTATTGATGTAATATTATTAGACTCCAGAAAAATTTGATAATGTAGCCGCTTCAAGCATTAATTATGTAGGGGCCCCTTAAATTTGGAATAGCAGACATAACTGGACCAGAAGCCACCCAGATTTTGTAAGCGAAGAGTGAAATTTAATGGGATGCAATCTAAATGGTAGGTTCTGTGAGCAGAATACAGCTATACATTATCTTTGATTCTCCAACACTTTCACACTATGGTGTAGAAGCATTGGTAACCATTTGACACATATGTCAACTAACTGCCAAGAACGTTTGCGTCATTAACACACATACATGAAGATACGCAGAGTAAGTAGCAAGGCTGACAGCCTTGAGTTGATCAAGTCTTTCAGTTTCAGATCAGAAAGGACAGAAGGCTTAATGGTCTGTGTTATTCCTGGCAATGGTGGTCTCAGTTGATCCAACTTTCTTTTGAAAGAGTCGACGGATGGAGCCCCAACCACGTGCTGATGTAATGAATTACACTCGAATTTGCATTAGGCAAAATAATACCGAACTCCCAGCACAGAGGAATAATTACGTTTCTCCGAATAATTCAAAAACCACCAGTATTTCTAATATTTGGAAAAAAATCGACCAAATCGAAGGGAATCTTGATGATTTCCCAAAAGTCAGTGGAATAATCTAGGGAGTGAGCTAATTAACTGGACGAAAGTGAGCCAGTGTGATTTTATTATAATGTGAAAGGAACCTACTAGGACCAGTATTGCAATAAGGAGAATGACAAACGTTTCACTATTTAGGATTCAAAACTTTGTGGTGTTCTTGGCGTACATATGACAGTACAGGAGTATTGACACAAGGTATCTTACCAGCACATGACTTAGTCTTCCAGATTTTCTTTAGGAGGATTATGATGGCGACGAGATGGGAGAAATCCCCCAATAACCTGAATATATTCATGCCTTTTTGTACCGAGATGCGCGCCACACTCGTGGCCATTCTCAACAAACAATGTACATCTAAATATGAAACTAGTGAGCGAAACGTACTTTAGATCATGAATTCCAGGCATTTTAAATATCTTTATGTCTTTGACACACAAACAGCCTGGAATTAGATAGTGAGTTGAACAGTAACAGTCCGTTACTCATCTACCTATGAAACCCATACCTAAGAATGGAAAGTCTGAAACTCCTTCTTTGATGAATTTTTCATACTAAGGTGGTTTAGTTGGTTTAAAGTTTTTGTCATGATGTATATATACATATCAAAATTGTTGACGTCATACACTCTGCCTTAGTTTCCTAAGTGAGTAATAAAAGTCGAGTATCTATGGTTTACTAGCAAGCTTAAAGCATACTGCTCCACGGTATCTATTCCAGTCCTTAAGGTGATTTGTCTGTCAAGCACGACAGGAAGATTCTTTGTGGATGAACTACAAGCTGTCCATAACATGAAACTACAATGAAAGATTTAAAGCTCGTGAAAAAGAAGAGGTGAAACATGAGAAGCTCCAAAAGCGTATGTCGCCGCATACAACCTCAGAACTTAAAGTCAAATCAACAAAGACTATACTAGATTCTGATCTGCAATATGTAGAAAATTTTTGCTTAGAAACCTAATAAAGCCAACGATTGATGGACAGTAACACCCAGAAAATTATATTGAAGCTCTTAAACCGTTAACAAACATGACTATCAGGAAGAGAAGAGATTAGTCCTAAGGAATGGAATCTCAGAGCCTACCGATTCAAACCTCTCAGAAGGATCATTCATGTTTCACAAGCAGAAAGTCTTCCGAAAAATGCCCGACCTGAACACACCTGAAGTCACATTAAGTCGTTTACATGTAGGTTGTGTTCAAGAGAAGACCAATAGTTACTAAACGTGACAGATTAGAAAGTAGATTCAGAAATCCTCCCAGTAAGCTCTCGTTTCGGAAATTTATTTTTTATAGGGGATGAGAATCTATCTTTGAAAAATCAAGATGAACTGTGTGATTCTGTGTGGTGTTTGAACGAACTAATGATACTATTGTACTGATTGATTGTACGATTTCGAATTCCAAATACAGTACATTCGGTTGTGCCTGTGTCTTCTTAATTCAACTGAGTTATTTCTGGGACTCTTAGTTAGTGCTATAATTCCAATAAGTCGAAACATTATATTCTGACATCTGTGTCCGTTCTAACATCAGCCTGATGGACCATACCAAGTGGTCTCTGAAGCAGCAGGAATGAACAAACTCTATGAAGGCCGTGAGAAAAACCTCATACATAAAAATCTTCATACTGCCAAAATAAGGGGTAGGCTGATTTCCAAAGTACTGTGGGTGTTACGACAAATGATTCCATGGAACTAAAGGTCGACAACTAAGCAAAGTGACGGGGCTCATGAAAGTAGTGGATGCAGGAAGCTCTGATGGTGATCATGTCATAGAAAAGACTGGTGTCAGTGTGTATGATAGTGAACTTCAGCTGTTTGGTTTAGTAGTTCATAGAACTAACGAAATGAACCATAAATGAAGTGACATCATACTGTGCCTGAAAGCTACTTCAGCGAGCTATCGAAACAATTGTACGCAACTCAGGGATATGTGGTTTGGAGCGGCGCCGGCTGAGATAGTATTGGTAAACAGCAGTCCTAGGTATGTAGCAAGTGATTTCTTCCTAAACAAAATGAGATACTCGTCAAACGGACGAAGAAGCCTCAGAGTAGGAGACTTCGGTTCATAATGTAAGTTAACTTAAAGATAGGGTCATCGAAAACATTGCTTGACTACAAGTCGCTGAGAATCAGTTTCTTCATCTTCAGTCCAACACACTGAAAATCCCTATAGCACTCTCCTATTTTGACCTTATTTTTCACACACTCAGCTGTTGTTGATCGAATTAATCCCCTCCTGAAGCCTATCAACCCTTAGTCCTCGAGCGAAGACTTCAAAATTGATCCGACACATGAGTACAGTAGAGATTGAATCTCCTATGGTATATATATATATATATATATATATATATATATATATATATAACTCAACCGTTTATACCCTGGACAGTCCTTAGAAAAAGGCATGATCATTTCTGGATGAATTGAAAGGTTTGGGGTTTAACACGGTAAATGAAAAATGCTCGAACGCCGCATGCAATTTTGATGCACTTTAAAGGTCGATTCGTGGTACCTGTAAAAACATAATCTCTACAGCACGGCCGAAATATGGAAGTTAATTGGTACAAACGTGAGTCAAGAAGCACAAAAGTTACGAACCAGGTTCGGTAGAGGAAGGAAGGGAATTTCGAATAATAGAAAATGGTCACTACAAACCAAAAGCCATGACTGCTTAATTCGGGATGGCATTTATTCACGAGTTTTCTCTCGACAATAGACTAGAACTAGAACCATTCTCGACAAATCTGTTAGTCGCCTTGAACCGTAATGTCGGTGACGTACTAAAGGCACTGAGCTATTTAAACTGGGAAATATCAATTATGCCGGATGAGCTTCACCCTAAAAAACATACACACTGAGCATTGCTTCGCTGTTCCGCTGACTACGATATTTGGTATGTCATCCGACCAGAGAGAGTTATATATGGACCATAATGATGTGGCTGTCGCTCCAACTCGCGAGACGGTGTAAGGATAAATTCCATTAAATTAGGGACCCGCCAGTCTCACCGATTACGTAGTTAACATACCGGAAAGAATGATTCATAACAGCCGTCATAACGATTGTGACAACTCAAAGTTTGTTAAACAGTGGATAACATAGATTCAGGAGAGGATTATCATGCACAACTAGGCTATTTACGCCAAGTGAGTGATAGACCTAGTTGTTTGGTATTTATAAATCAATAAATGTCATCAACGTTGACTCCTACGAAGCATTTGGTAGGATGCTGTTTTGTAGGTTGCTTTGTGGACTTTAAAACCTGAAAATTAATGGTTCCGTTTCAAAAAATATAGATCATCTACGGAATGTGAGCATAAATTTCAAACTTCAAGGAAGCTAGGACTTAATAAAGTACTACAAGGTCCTGTCCCACTTCTCTAATTTCCTATATCATCATGGCGAGTTGCGGTAGTCGGTCGATGAACATGCGTTATATATGTCATAATCATCTGTGTGTATGATCACACAGTTTTTTAACTCGAATGACTTGAGCTATGCAAGCGATGCCCCAATTAAAATAATAGAATACTAGCAGCACAGTGGCACCCTATATAGTAAAGTGAACCAGGATGTGTGTTCGCTTGATTTATTAGTGAACATATGACGACAGTCTCAGTAAACGTGTCACGGCTTCCATTCTCATCTTCAGAGAAAATAGGCAGGTACTTACTGAATATAATATAGTGCTTTTATTTTTCAAAAGTAGAACACATGCAGCAAAGAAATTGAAGCAAAATGGTAATATGCATCAGATGCACATTGCACGACTTGTCTTTATTGGTCACCTAAAACATAAAATATAAATATTAGCTTGGCAGGTGCATCCAGTAAGACCTCAATGTCAGTCTGTTAAGAAGAAAGGGACTTGCTATGTGAGAAATAGTTCCGGAGTTATTGTCAATGTTATCAAAATCGATAATGTTCCATGAATTACCGATCCCTAAAACTGCTAGAATGTTATCCAAAAATATAATCTGAAAAGAAAAAAAGAAATCTTTAGTCTGTTGTACATCACAGTAACCTTAAACTTCTTGTCTAATTCACCAAAGGCAGAATTTCAGAACAAGAACAAAGCTATTATGTACTGGTTGTTATCATACCACGACAATCGGTAAAATTACAGTTATGAAGAAAAAGGAGTACAATAACAAGTACATACCATTTTACTCCCGGACCATGGGTCTCCAACTTCCTTTTATATCTAAAACAATAAGCATATACAAAATAGTGACAGCAGGTTTACCACTTTTCATCGCTCAACTTACTTCCACCACGTAACGCGTCAAAATGCCAATAAAAGGTCTTCTGAAATGGACAGGTATCATCTCTTAATTGGTTAAAGGATGCTGGGTGCCCAGGTCTTATAATCCTCTCGAATACATCCCTGGTGTCCACAACAGTTAAATACTCAGTATTAGTTCGACTGATTGATAGATACGTAAATCACTTTCCTCCAAAGAAGACAGACATCCAGCTGTTATCCAGCTATTGGCGTTGTCGCTGGGAAACTTGTTTGCTAGTAGTGACCTTGAAATACACTTTTCCCTGAAACGAACGGTCATTTAATATGTAGAATTTATGATCTACTATGATATTAGTACTGCTCTAATAATAGACCTAATCCTAAATCTGTGGATTTGTCATGATATGACTGCCTAATCTATAAGATCTTACGTGGAAGTCACACCATCAACTACACCAACTCACTGTATCGTATCAATTACCAATACATGATGTAGAACAAGGTTAGGCTAGAGAAAGAACAATATATTTAATATGAAAAGAAGATATAAGGTAACATTCAGCAGAGACCACGCCTGCATGGCCGAGCCATGCCGTTCGATCAACTCTAATTTATTCAACTCATTATTCGCGCCTTCTCCATCGTTAGGTATTTCTTCGCGTTAAATATTGAATACCTATTTTCCGAGTAATCTCGTATTCAGCTTTGAGGATTGTGTGGTTATGGTCCAATACCACTACACTACTCTCCCACCAGAATCAACGTGGTGTTGGTTCGATACCAAATTGGATGGGACTGTAGTGTCCCGAAGGTTACCAAGACTAGTAATAATCCTCCGGGTGATGACAAGCTGAAAGATAAATCAAAAAGAAGACGGCAGCATCTGGTCGGGAAATACATGTAATAATTTTAAAATATCTGCCTTCATGCTTACAATAAAAATTTGAGTGATTATTTGAGCAATAAAAAAATGGGATTACAATAATAATAATAATAATAATAATAAAACGATGCGTGTTAATAGTCGTTGGTTAATAACTTAACGTATAGGTAGTAAGTATTTTGTGTTTAGAAATATTAAAGTTATA